GGCATTCACATTCCACAGTCAAGCTGGTGCTGATTGGACCCATCATCCCTACTGACTAACTGTCATAGAGCTGGAAGGTGCCATCTACACTACTGAGTGGTCATCAATCTCACCCAGCTGTGAACCTATAAACTATGAGAACCTCTGGTCTGGCAAGACATGCCCACTTGTGCAATAGTAACACAAATGTCATGGAAGTAACAAGACACTCTCTGACTGAACTAAAGTCCCACTATGCAAGATGAAACCCACATTTGGCATCATTGTAGGGCCAAGAACCTATGGCTAGACATGTCATAGCCCTTGGAGGAGAACCTATTATTATGCTGCTAAAGGACATAGTATTAGACCAATTGTTACAGACTGATCTTTATACTTACAGACTATAGAGATTCTCAGTCCTTTCTGAGAAGCTTCTATTTACAGTAGATGGTGATGAACATAGACACCCACAGCTTGCTGAAGTGCCCGGGACAAGAGACTGTGAAATTCTATTTTATGCTTAAGAGAGTCCATTTAGGGAAGGACTTAAATGTTAAATACAAAGTACATGTGAGTAATACCCATGTTGGCCTAGAAATGGATTTCTCAAGGATGGCATGAAGTAACAGAAACTACAAAAGAAATTAGTGGAAAACATGATTAAGCCAAAACGTCCTGTACAGTACAGTGAGAGTCTCCATGAAGTATAAAGAAGACACAGAGGCGCTTAACCAGACTCCAAAATAAGGAAGACACATAAGGGAGACATAGAATAGACAATGGTAACTGATAAGGCGTATAAATAGGAAAAGGAGGAGAATAGAAAACTAGGTAAATGCATACCTTAGCAAGAGGCTAGAAAAGAGAATATTTCAGTAACACATCTTCATGAACCCCCCCCAATACCCATGTATAAAAGACTCACCAACTCATTCAGGGGGTGCAGATTTGTATCCATAGAGACAACACGAAATTTAACTGGACAAAGAGAGAGAGATAGAGATAGAGAATTTCCTAGTGAGTTCCAGAGACCCAGAGCTGCTCTGTGCCATGTTGAGGATGGCTTCTTAATTCCTGTGTCCATAATGGCTGCATACCTGGCTGTCCTGGTTTGTACATGGGTTTGTCTGTCTGGACAAAGACAACATTTTCTTGGTTCTTCACCGTCACCTCATTCGTTTTGCTGAATTCGTGTTTTGGTCCTTTGACATGGACAGAGAGGGACACCTTCTCCTCAGAAGATGAGACTCTGGGGAGCTGAGAATGAGAGGAACACAAGACCCTTCACCATCTGACCCTTTGGAGTTCTGAGATGGCCTTTTTACCTCCTCTCTTTCCATGGCACAGGAAGGATGTGGGGAGATCAATTTCGGTTTATGCATTAGGTATGGAAAGAAAACACAAATTTTCATGAGTCAATGGAAACATCAAACATGTAGCCTTTTTTTTGGAGTAAACATAATCTTGATTGAAAAAGTAGATATGACTCTGAACTGAGGTAGAGTGAAAATTACTCTATTAATGGTGGTAGGAATTGTGTCTTTTGTGTCTTGAGGATAGGTGCAGAAGAAGCCCAACACTTATTCAGGATATCAATTACACCAAGGAGATGTGGTCCTGATCAGTTGGAGTGCTTTTTGAAAGCTTATTACTTATGATCCGGAAATATTACAAAGTGGCAAAACTGTTCTTTTTCTGGGTGGTGGGATTTTTGAGGGACTTCAATGGGAAAGTAGCATGTGCCCAAGTATTGGCTCTTTCCATTTTGGGGTGGGATGATCTATGCTATTTGTTTATTGGGTAAATGTTGTAGGTTTCTATTGTTTTGAAGTACTAGATGGGTTTTTAGATTAATCTGTTTCAGAAATATGTTAGTATATATGCATATCTATGAAAAGCAAATTGGCACAGGTATCCAGTACTCACAGTGAAGGAGACACAGTGGAACAAGTCCTTGTCAACCACAAGATCATTGAACAGACTTCTGCTTTCCCAGCTAAACTTCAAGGATGCTTTCACAGTCACTGGCTCACTCAGTTGGTATAGATGGAGGCAGATTTTCTCAGGGGTCTTAGTGCGGAGCTGGGAAGGGACCAGCACCATAATCTTCCTAGCAAGGAAAGAGTTCAGGCCAGCTGAGAACAAATGTCATTGTCCATGCCTGTGGTTTCATCCCAATAATCATCACCATTCTCATTTCTTCAGCTTGAGGTGGCAGGGTGACAGCATGATACAGCAGAGAGGTCAGACAATAATCAGTGATTATAACAACTCAGCCTCAGTGGTGATATCCATCCAGTCAGGGTTAAATGCCCTGTACTCCCTTCGCTTTAGCAGCTAGCATTCATGTTCTAGAAGGTTTTTACATTTGGGGGGTTTATTGCGGGGGTTAAGACAGAGTTTCTCTGTGGCTTTGGAACTAGCTCTTATAGGGGGCTGGCGTCTCATACTCACAGTGATCCACCTATCTCTGCCTCCTGAGTGCTGGGATTAAAGGGATGCGCCACCATTGCTTGGTGGTTTTTAAATTTTTTAATGTGACAAATAATTATTCTTTTCATACAACTTATCAAGATTGTTCTTAATTACCATTCTTGAAAACTAACTCAAACCCTGCTCTTATTTTCAGGTACTCTTAAACCTAAGATTAAGAAGTGACTGTGCAATTCTGTGTTGCACGATTGACATATGTTACACTTGAGCAAATGCCAAAGACAGGTCTGTAGGAATCGTTCCCTACTTCTTTCTGGAATTCAAGTCTTTCTACCCAAACTAGCCCAAAATCTAGCCTGTCACTGCTACATCACACAATAAATCAAAATCAACAGGTAGCTTTATTTTTACGATGTTAAATATATTTTTCTGATAAAAAATGACAACAAAAGTCAGTCAACAATATAATACTGATAATGTGGTTGGTTGGACACCAAATAATGAGTTCTACTGGTAGTTTAATACAAGGTCTTTGATCTTAACAAGGATTTTGCTTTAATACACAAACATCCGTACAATTCTGGTGTGTCTGAAGTCTTACCTTAACTGTAGACTACACAGTTCAAACCAAGAGTGTCAACAACGTAAATACTTATCTTCAAAGTGATTAAATGGTTTCAACAGGTAAGAATGTCTCTGACCACTGGGATTTTAGATATTGCTGGAACAGTCATAAGAGAAATGTTGTTCTAAATTATATTGTAGCTCAATATAATAACACCGGTGTAGAATTGAAAAAATATTACATAGAATCCTGGAAAGCATACATACCGTCATTATCTGTTAAAAAGCAAAAAGGATATAGAAAGGAAATTGGTGACTTGGGATTAGAAGAGGAACAACATGGAAGAGGGCCTTGGTGGTACTCACGGTTGTTCAGGTTCATGTTGTCCATCGAGTGAAGAAACAGAAGGCAGGAAGGCAAGAAGAATTGAAATGAGACACTGCAGTGCCTGTCTGCCCTTCATCATGGTGTAGGAAGAAAGGACAAGAGGACGGGGCTTCTGGTGTCCTCTTCCCTGATACCATTTCCAGATACCAATACACAGAGGTTTATTTATGGGTGCCCTGTGTAATCAGAGAGCTCCACCCTAGGTGTCCAAACAGACAAGAAGAATTTTGTAAGAGATGTTTTTTGTTAGTGTCACTGTATTCAGTGGTGGCCTCAGTACAACTCAAACAAATTACAACAGCCTCATCAAAGGTGCCAGAGTAGTTGTGGATGGTGTTGGTAAAACGTCAAGGTCATAGAATTCACTTAGCTTGAAACAGAGCAGACCTTCTCAGTCTTAATACTACTGATCTATATCTTTGCATCAAGTGGTTGTTTTATGACATTGGCTACCTCACTGCTTCTAGTCAGCTGGAACCTAGCAGCACTCCCTGGGATATGACACCTCAGTTTCTCTTTCCTCATTTGAGGAGTCACTACAGCATTCCAGGTTAGAGATTTCCAGTTCTTCTGTCTCTGGTCATTCAAGTCTATGCTTTTATGGGTCTTATGTGTAAAGAGGGGATTGTGGATGCTGGGAAAGCTCCAAAACTCACATGCTACAAGTCACTATGTCTAACTCTTCTTTTTTGAAGTTCATAAACCTCATCTAGAGGTACAGTTGAGAAGACTTAACTCTACGGTCTACAGAGAAGCCAAATATAGTCTGTGCAACTAAAGGTGGTGGCTTTGAATGCTAAGGTGATCAGCCTTTGGGATGTGACTCAGTTCCTTTGGATTGGCGTTAAGGTATGAGTTGGGATACACAGTAGCATTTCCATTCTGGAACCTGGGGCTGTTTGGTTTTGCAAAGAGCTTATGACAGTGGCTTGAGAGGAAGGTATAGCATAAGCTAAATCAATTTTAATCTTGGGCATTAAGTAAAAAGATAGAATATGCTAAAATGGGATGTAGGGTTAGCATGTAAAGGCTGAAAAAGAAATGAATCTTCTGTATGTTATTGATTGACATATGAACCTGAATAAGTCATCAATAGGAAGCCCCATCAACTTCTGAACTGGTCCTTTCACTCAAAATCCCACTAAAACAGTAATTACACTTTTCCGTCTTCACTGCCTGCTCTTTATTTTTGGGCATGACAATGAATGGACTTAGATTCATGTAAGATGATGCTACAAGCGATGCACACAAAACCATTGTCAGGTTGCTGACAATGCAGGATAACATCAGACAGCCTGGCATGCCTGAGACAGTGCATAACCCAGACTCAGAACTCACAGATGTCTTCTTGTTAGAGAACAGGCATGCTACAATGACTAACTTGAGCTTTTCCAGTCTGAGGAAACAATGGGGTACAGATTTTCAAATCTTTAAAAAGCACATGAGAAGGCCTGGAGACCAGAAGAGCATTGCCTCATCTGAAGTGGGAGTCTTTCATTGCAATAATGATACTGCAATACAGCTAAGCATAGCCATGTGAGGCCTATGAAAGGAACTTGGAGTAAGAACTAGTATCACTTAAATAATGAACGGATAGAAATCTTTTCTGTGTAGCATGATAGCTTATGTGTTTTATGAAAGGAAGACTAGAAGCCTAGATACCCCACTTAATGGCTGGTATAGTTACCAAGATATCCTGTGATGGTGTTCCACCCTGAGAGATTAGGAGCTAGGCAGACTCCCTGGTAGGCAGACAGATAAGGAGATGGGTTATGGCTAGGTAATAATGGTGGCAAACCTCCAAGATGACTGGCATCTTCCTTACTGTGGTGGTTGAATGAGAATAGACCCCACAGGCTCGTATATTGGAGTGTTTAGTCACAAGGGTGCAGAACTATTTGAAAAGATTAGAAAGTGTGGCTTTCTCTCTCTCTCTCTCTCTCTCTCTCTCTCTCTGTCTCTCTCTGTCTCTCTGTCTCTCTCTCTCTCTCTCTCTCTCTCTCTCTCTCTCTCTCTCTCTCTGTTTCTCTTTCTTTGCTTATGGATCAGGATGTATCTCTCAGCTACTTCTCCAACACCATGCCTTATGCATGTGGCCATGTTTTCAGACATGATGATAATGGACTAAACCTCTGAAACTGGTACCAGAGATTGATATATTGTTGTGATAGGCCTGGAATAATGTGAACTTTGTAAGTTTGGACTAGTGAAGTGGTTGAACACTTTAAGTGTAACTTACTGGGCTATCCAAGTAGGAACATTGACAGTGGTGCTGAGGCCAATGTATATTGTGGCAGCCTGGCTCAAGAGTTTCAGAGGGGAAGAATATTAATAAGTGGCCTACAAGCCATTCTTGTGATATTTTAGAAACAAATAAAGCTGCTCCCCTCCATGCCTGCATCTCAGAAATCTGCCTGAGGCTAAATGGAAAAGTTTGAATTAATGGTGTTGGTAGAGGATATGTCAAGACAGCCTAGTGTTGATGCTGTCATATGGTTATTAGTAATCACTGTTATGCAGACCTATGATGAAAAGGAGAAAGTTGTACAAAAAGAAACAGAAAATGCTCACTTTGCAGTTAAATGGAATACCAGGAAATGTAATGGAACAAAATCCAGTGTTCAAGGAGATAAGCAATTTAAAGAAAATGCAATGCTAAATGGAATAAGGAGATTTGTGGTGTCAGGGCAGTACCCTGCCCGGTTAAGCTTCCAACTTGTGAAAAATAAAGAAAACCTTAAGCAGTGAAAGACTCTATCAACAACAGACAACTGATGCAAACATAACTGAAAGAAGGTACCCATGTTCCAGCCTCATCAAGAAGTAGAATTTGGCAGTATCAATCACATGGTTTGATCTTTAGAATCAAGAATAAAAGAAGGGTTGTGGAATCTTCCTCTATGGGTAATGAGAGCCACTAAGGTCAGGCATGGGTTAGGGGTGTCCCTGCATGGACACCCAGAGAGGCCATTATGTGAAGCTGTGAAGGTAAAGCCTGGATTTTCTTGGATATACCTGTTACAGAGTTCAAATACATTGACAAAAGACCACAGACTTGATTCAAATTATCATTAAATGAATTTATTAATTACTGCTAGCCCTAAATCCAAATAGAAGGTGAGTTATGCAGATCTGCCTAGAGGAAGGCTTTTTATAGATGGACACCACAACTATCTCAATTATGTGAAGCTGAGTGAGCAACTGCTTTTAATCCCTTAACTTTAAAAAGCTGTCTCTATCCACCTGTATACACAGGTAAAGGAGCTGTCTCACTCCATGGTACACATTCAAAAGTGGTTTTTAAAAAACTAGCACAATCAATTACCTAATAGCAGTTTTACAAGGTTGGGGAGGGGACAAGGAGTCAGAGTTGCTGGACACTCATCCTATAGAAATTGGGAATGGGGCCGGATGTTAGTAGCCACACTATTAATCCCAGCACTCGGGAGGCAGAGACTGGTGGATCTCCATGACTTTGAGGCCAGCCTGGTCTACCAAGCAAGTTTCAGGACAGGCTCCAAAACAATACAGAGAAACCCTGTCTCAAAACAACAACAAAAAAAGAAGAAGAAATTTGGAATGGGTACCTAGTACAAAATGGAGTTTTCCTTTTTTAGGAGTTTAAAATATGCTCATAGTGCAAAAGGAATTTTCCTTAGCTGTTACAAACAAGGATGTTGAAGATGTCAGAGAATGGAATACCTGGCAAGGAGAGTTTGCATACCAGGTGTAGAACCAGTCCAAGAGAGAGCAGCATGTTTTAGTCAAGAAAGCTGAAAGTGGTTGATATCCTGAAGAGTTTTTTGACATCAGACCTAGATGTCAAGACAGCCTGTCTTGGAGATGGTCCTGCTGGTTTTTGGTTTTTGCTTCTCTTGAGTATTTCTTCATTATGCTCCTTTTCCTCCCTTCTGGAATGGTAATGCATATTCTGTGCCATTGTGTGTTGGAAGTATGTGATCTGCTTTTTGGTTTTGATTTTTCTGAGGATAACAGTCAAGAGATTGCCTTGAATCTCAGAAGTCTTTGGACTTCTAAATGGTGTTGAGACAGTGATCGATTATGGGGACTTTGGAAATTGCACTGAATACATTTTTGCCTTATGATATGGCTACAAGTCTATGCAGGTCATGGAGCTGGATGTGTTGGTTTTATAAGAATGGCCTCTCTATATATATTGAATGATTAGTCACCAGGCACTATTTGAAAGGATAAAAAGAATTTTGGGGTGTGGCCTTGTTGGAGGAAGTCTGTTACTAGGGTGGTGTTTGAGATTTCAAAACCCCATGCCAGGCCCAGATGCCCCTCTCTCTCCATGTTTCTGTCTCTCTGTGCATCTCTCTCTCTTGGCCTATATATTAGGATGTAGCAATCTCCTACTGCTCCATCAGCTGCTGTATGCTGCCATGCTTCCCAGCACAATGACAAGGGACTAAGGCTCTGAAACTGTAAGCGAGCTCCTAATGAAATGCCTTCACTGATAGAAGTTACCTTGGTCATTGTGTCTCTTCACAGTAATAGAACAGTGACTAAGACACTAGCCCTTGACTTTCAACCTTGCTGTCTGAGCTAATATCTCCTACTGTAGACTGTAGTTTCTGTAACCTTTTAGTACCAATTACACACTACATTATTATATTATATATAATCATCTATTATAACACAATTATAATATATTATATTATATAATTATTATATTATAAATTACAATATGATTAATTTATATTAATTATAAACTGTGTGGCCTATTGCTCAGGCTTCTTACTAACAAGCTCTTACAACTTAAATTAACCCATAATTCTTATATATGTTTAGCTGTGTATCTTGGTACCTTTCCCAGTAAAGCATTCTCACTTTGCTTCCACTGCATCTGGCTGGGGACTCATTCTCTGCCTTCATCTTCCCAGAATTCTCCTAGTCTGGCAGCCCAGCCTATACTTCCTGCCTGGGTACTGGCCAGGCAGCGTTGTATTAAACCAATATGAGTTTCAAATCTTTACAGTGGACAGGAGCATTATCCCACATCATCCTGATGAAAAAAAAAAAAACACCCACAGAGGGTATTTCAGACTCAGAGGA